GATATCTCTTGGATATCATCCGGGATCTCATCGTCGTCGGCGTTAAAGTCGATGTGAGTCCGTGCGTCTGACACATCGACCGAGCTAGAATTGCGAGACCTTTTGGATTGAACCTCCGACGATGTAGGCGTTTTATTCTACCTTGGATTCGCACGCAATAACTCCCACGATTTTTCAAAGTCGAAAACATGTCCCATTTCTATCCGATATTGTTCCTTAGCAGATTTGAACAAATCAAAGTCGTTGGTTCCGCTTTGCTGTTGCGCCTAAAGCCGGTTGTAAATACAGTTGAATTTGCTGCACCGCTTAGTTATTTGACCCCATTTGCTGCTCAACATGTCATTGTGCGATACGGATTTTTATTTAAAATAACGTGAAACTTGTCGAGCACCGCTTCCCAATAAGCTCCTTTTTTCATTCCATTTCCGCGAAGTTCGTCTTTTGAAGTAGCACACCAGCCGCCGTCAAAGCATATTCCTCATCCGGTGTCCACCATTGCGGAACGTCTGCACTTTCTGTTTTAACCGCTATCGATTTCCCTTTCGATTTTCCTTTGCCTTTCCCTCTTCTACTACCTCCCGCTTCCACTTCAACTGATTGTTGTGTTGTAGGCGATGGTTGGTTGGTTGTTTGTTGCATCGAAGCAAAACTAGGGAAAAGATTCTGTTGTAAATTTGGGTTTTGACCAAATAAATTTTGTTGAAGGTAAGGTGAGTTGGGAAACTGTAGTGGCGGTGAAGCGGGATTGAAAACGGCGCTTTGGTATGGGATTTATGGTGAGCCTTAAGAAGATAAAATGTTGAAATAACCTTCATAACCTGCAAATCCGAGAGGCGAGGTTGTGTTTGGTTGTGTGTTTGGGTTTGATGATGGGGAGGTGTTTGGGATTTGCTCCATTTTTTGAGTAAGAAAGTTTATAAAAGTATAGATAGAATGTTAAAAAAGATGTAAAATTTGAAATAAAATGAGTATATATATATATATATATATATATATATAATATATATATATATATATATATATATATATATATAATATATATATATATATAGGTAAAAGGTACAAAAAAAAATTTGTTTGAATGTGACCGTTTGCAAACGGTCATAAGAGCCACAACAGTAATTTTTTTCCGTTTCACTTCGTTGGGGGCGGTATTCCCCCTGTTAAGACGGCGTTGCGCCCGCCACGTCACCCGCGTCGTTTCTCGTTTTGGCCAATACTGATCGCTCTAAGTATTTCATCAACTCGAGTCATTCAATATAGATATATCATATAATATATATATATATATATATATATATATATATATATTATATATATATATATATATATATATATATATATATATAGGAGGGTTCTATTGAGAAAAAAAAGATTGAGAATGGCGGAACCATTTTCAGCCAATCATTTAATGAGCTTAAAAAACATAAAAACACGGTGGCAAGGTTGTAAATAATCCAAATACATTAATGAGCGGTGGCAAACTTGTAAATAATCCAAAAACATTAAACTGTCAGGGTAGTTGAGTAATTTCATCGCACATCAAATCTCGACAGCAAAACCATCATTTCCCTCTTCGAACACATCATCGTTTCCCCATAACACGAAACCATTTGCAGAAGGATTCAATCATAGAAAGCATTCTGAACATCGCGAAGAACAAATCGAAGAAAAATGTCTTCCGACGAAAACCTAAACGAAACCATTTCCTTACTGTTGACTATGAAAGGTAATCATCGGCGTTTTTTTTCTTCGATTTTTAACGATTTGTAATCATTTCTAAACTTATCACTTGATTACTTGAAAATTTTCGTAATTGCCGTTCATTATTAGTTGATTTAGAACTAAAAGTTTTATCTTCACACTATTCATTCTTTAAACTAGGTTGTTTACTTCAAATTTTATGATCATCGTTCATTCTCGTAATCCTCATTCATTATTACTTGATTTACTTGAAATTTTATAATAATCATCCATTATTAATTGATATATAAATGATTTTACATCTTCTCTTCATTTTCATACATATTCACAACTTTTCTGATAAAATATAAACGTTACTTCACATTTCGTTTGTGTTGTCCTAATATTAACTACTTACCCTTACTGAAACAACACCAACAGTGAAGCATATATAAACGAAAAACAAAAACCAATGAAAAGGGTAAATAAAATAGGTATTCCCTTTAGATCTGATTAACTTTATTCATAAGTGATTGCCAACATTTAGATGTGATTTTACTTAAAAATACAACAGAAAATGAAGATATTGAAGATAATTTTGTTTTGATATGTTTTTTTTACTTTTGAACACAAACAAAACTAAGTTATATATGTTATATTCACATATGAATAGAACATAATTTGTTGTCATATATACATTATTCAAATATGAATACAACAAAAATGACTTATATATGTTCTATTCACATATGAATATAACATACACATTCATATGTGAATAAAAAACATGAATATATATGTTTTATTCAAATATTCATTAATGAATATAAAATAGTTTCTTTGTAAAATGTATATCAAATTCATTTATCTTCTACTCACTAATGAATGGGTAAGAATATTACCATTTATGATACAGACCCACCAACAATGAGAGAAGCACGATCAATACAGAAAAGTCACAAAGGTATAAAATTCATATCATATCTTCTATATCCCTGCTATAATTTATGAATAACTTGTATATCCCTGCTATAATTTTCTTCTATTAACATATGAATACTTCAATCTGGATATGTTTTATATTAAAAAAAACTATTGAATTCTTGTATTCATATATGAATAAATTTATATGGCTTAACTTTGTTTGTATTCAAAAGCTAATCATATGTGAGTGGAAACAATTATTCATACCTTTATCTTGTTTTGTTTTGGAACATTTTTCTTTTGAAATTGGAGATTGATCTTTAGTATCTTCACATATGAATATAACATATATATTCATATGTGAATATATAAATATGGATATATCTGTTATATTCATTTATGAATAACTTGTATATCCCTGCTATAATTTTCTTCTCTTAACATATGAATATTTCAATCTGGATATATTTTATATTAAAGAAACTATTGAATTCCTATATTTATATATGAATAAATACAGGCTTAGCTTTGTTTGTATTCAAAAGTTAATCATATGTGAATGGAAACAATTATTCATGCCTTTACACTGTTTTGTTTTGGAACATTTTTCTTTTGAAATTGGTGATTGATCTTCAGTATCTTCACATATGAATATAACATATATATTCATATGTGAATATATAAATATGGATATATCTGTTATACTCATTTATGAATAACTTGTATATCCCTGTTATAATTTTCTTCTATTAACATATGAATACGTCAATCTGGATATGTTTTATAATAAAAAAAGACTATTGAACTCCTGTATTCATATAAGAATAAATATATATGGTTTAGCTTTGTTTGTATTCAAGAGCTAATCATATGTGAATGGAAACAAATATTCGTACCTCTATGTTGTTTTGTTTTGGAACATTTTTCTTTTGAAATTGGTGATTGATCTTCAGTATCTTCACATATGAATATAACATATATATTCATATGTGAATATATAAATATGGATATATCTGTTATATTCATTTATGAATAACTTGTATATCCCTGCTATAATTTTCTTCTATTAACATATGAATACTTCAATCTGGATATGTTTTATATTAAAAAAACTATTGAATTCATGTATTCATATAAGAATAAATATCTATGGCTTAGCTTCGTTTGTATTCAAAAGCTAATCATATGTGAATGGAAACCATTATTCATACATTTATGTTGTTTTATTTTGGAACATTTTTCTTTTGAAATTGGTGATTGATCTTTATTATCTTCACATATGAATATAACATATATATTCATATGTGAATATATAAATATGGATATATATATATATATATATATATATATATATATATATATATAGATATATATATATATGTTATACTCATTTATTCATTTATGAAGATAAAATAGTTTCTTTGTAAAATGTATTTCAAATTTATTTATCTTCTACTCACTAATGTATGAAGGTAAGAAGATTGACACTTCTGATAAAGACCCAACAACAATGAGAGAAACATATTTGAAGAGGAAAAATGTCAGATAAAATTCATATCATATCCAATATATTCATATATGAATAAACTTGTATATCCATGTTATATTTTTGTAATAAACAAATATTAATAAATCAACGAGGATATTCATATATGAATAACTATATATAGCTTATATATATCATATTCATATATCAATAACTTGTATATACCTGTTATATATTCAGTATTATATGTTTTCATTTCCTAGAAAAAAAAAACAAAAACACCGAAGAAAACAAAGCATCAAAGCAAAAAAAAAGTCCATCAAAAAGAAAAACTACTGAAAAACGACAACTACATGATTCATACTCTGATTTTGAAAGTAGTCGTCCATCAAAGAAGGAAAAAAAGGTGTCACCAATCAAGAAAGAGATAAAACACCATTGGTAAACGAATTTTACTCGATGAAAAACAGATGTTCACCAGGAGTCATTACTATCTATAATCCATGGGTTGAGCAAACAACAAAAAGAATGTGTAAGATCTATGGTTTTTGGAAGTCTGTTAAAAATGAAAATCACAGATATACCACTAAAGTTGGGATTTGGTATTCTTCACAAATTTGATTCTGAGAGAATGGTGATAGATGTTGAAGGAAAGGAACTGAAAGTTACATCAGAGTGTGTTCAAGACATGTTGGGCATTCCAACTGGTGGAACCATACTTACACAACTGGATCAATGGCCTAAAGATGATACAAGTTATGATGAATGGAAGCAACAATTTAAAGAATGAGTAATCATCCGACTGAATGCAATCAAGAAAGTTATTGTTTGTACCTCAGAAGTTGATTTCAATTTCAAATTGAACTTCTTAGTTCTTTTTGTCAACACATTTTGTGAGTCAACATCAATGGGAAGATGCAACCTGTTTCCTTTGAGTTATATTTCAAGAAAAACAGATATCAACAACATAGACTGGTGCAGCTATGTTTTGGACTGTCTTGTTAGAACAAAGAACTCATACATACCATACTCAGATACCAACTACTTTGTTGGACCTTCAGATTTCTTGGTGGTAAGTTATTATAATGTTTATATTTAATTTTTAATAATATTAATTACTCATAAGTGAATAGCACATATTCATATATGAATAAGTAAAATATACTTGTTCACATGTAATGCTTTACATTACTTATTCATATATGAATAAGTAAAAGATAATATTACTTTTTCATATATGAATATATATATATATATATATATATATATATATATATATATATATATATATATATATATATATAATCATTTATGAATATCAATTAATTATCATTTATTTGCAGTTGTTCTATGCTGATAACATCCACTCAGAAGCTTTAACGGTAACACGTAAACGTCCAACAATTTGTTATTGGAGTTCAGAGAAGATTAGATATCGAGAGACATTTGAACAAGAAAAAGGTAGATTTGGACTTGGAGAATTAAATGAAGAATTTGTTAATGAACAAGATGAAGGAGATACAGATCTCGAAGAGAGTGATTCTGATAAAGATGAAGATGATTCTGTTGAGGTAATTATTTTGAACATGTTAATAATATATGATTACATTAAATTATTATATTAATTTCTAATCATACTTCTTTTTATTACATAGGCATATGAATCAAAATTATCTAAAATGCTTAATAGTTTTGAGAGGATGAAGGAAAAGCTGAATTCAAAACTCAATGATGTGATAAAAAAGTTCCCTGAAAAGGAAAGTTTTAGGATTTCAAAGAAAAGATGACAAATATAATTTTTGAAGAAAAAACTGAAAGCACAACACTTTTTGAATTTCCAAGTAATGAAACTGGAGTTGAAGGTATCAATTTGACACCAATAATGGGTCAAAAAACAAATGATCACAAAGAAAATGAAGATAAAGAGGGGAATGGTGAAGAAGACAATGATAATGATGGAAGTCAACCAGAAGTATATTATTTGCTTGATTCAAACGAAGCAGAGAATGAAGGAATAAAGAATGATGGAGATAACAATAAAAAGAAGGTGAAACTGGAGTAAAAGAGAAAGATGGAAAGAACAATGAAAATGAGAATGATGAAGGGAAAAACGATGATGAGGCTGAAGAAACAAATAATCACAAAGAGACTATTCAACAAAGTGAAAATGAAATTTTGTTGGATAAAGTTGTTGACATCATTGTGGATAATGTCCTTGGAATTGGATTTTCAAGTTTAAATAGTCAAGAAGATGAAATCTGGAATGACCCTGAAATGAAAACTATTTTGGATAATATTGATATAGGTAAATTTTGACTTACTTTTATTTTATAAAAATATATAAAAAATATTAATACACAATAACAATTTTTTTATTAAATTTTGACAAGGGTCACCAATGACTAGAAGTAAAACTAATACTCTGATCAGTCAAGTTATTTAAGGTATGTTACTATCAACTTATTATTTATTCACTAATTCATTAACTAATTATATTTAATATATAATATTAAATGAATCTTGAAAAAAAAGGAAAAATCAGAAGGTGTACATAAACAAGGAGAAGAAGTTGAAAAAAGAAAGGGAGATGATACAGGTAAATGAATGCTTCAATATATATTACAATAGTTATATTATTTTTAATAACATTGTTTATTCATAAGTGAATAAGACACAATATAAATGAGCAAAAAAGATAGAATATTCATATATGATGTATATGTTTCAGGCAAGGGAAAGTCTGAACATGGAAATAAAGGAGGAGCAGAAGCTAAGAACACAAAAGATGAAGGTGCAGATAAACAAACAAAAATTGAGAAAGGAAATGCAGATGATAAAGGTAAATAGTTGATTCACTAATAAATGAATATAATAAGTTTGATTATTCACAAATGAACAACACAATATACTAATAAATAAAAAATATAGTATTACTTATTCATAAATAATGATATCCATTACTTATTCATAACTGAATATATTACTTATTCACAAGTGAATAAGACAATGTAAGTAATGCTTACATTTATTTTTTGAATAACACACTTTTCATTTAGTGATAAGTAAAAGATAGAATACTTGTTCATAAGTAATGCCATGCAGTACTTATTCAAAAAATAACATATTGCAATATTTATATTCATTTATGAATAACTAATATAATACTTTGAATATAGATAAACTATTCATATATTTTCTTTATCTTTCAGGTAAGAAAAAATATGAAAATAAAAACAAAAAAGGAGGAGAAGCTGACAAGACAAAAGGAAGTGAAGGAGGTAACAATTTGGAAAAACATTTCAAAATATAAAAAAAATATTATAATTAACATACAACTATTTATATGATAAATCTCCTGGCATGCAGATAATACTCATCCAAGCTTTAGTCTAGGTCTCAGTCCAGATTGAAATCAAACTTCAAGTAAAAAATCTAATGAATCTTCACTAGAAAAATCACTTACAAAGAAACAAATCAAAGATGACCATCAAAGGGTTGTGATCAAATTAGCAAAAAAAATTGTTCTTAATCCAAATCCAATCTCTGTATCAATTCCTATAGAAGTAGGACCATAAAATCATGATCTGGATGAACCAAGAGAGAAGAAGCTTGATGATGCTTTCAAATAACCTTACAAATGCAGGATAATAGACACAAAATCTAAGCTGACACATCAGGAGAGTATTGTCTGTGAGTGGTTGTTCAACTTGCAAGGGAATACATCGTAAGTAACTTTATTTTATAGACATATTCACATATGATTATTATATAGATAATAATGTATGACATTTTGATTATATATTTGTACAGATGTGGTTGTCCAGACAAAATATGGTCAGATAACAGAAAGAGCAATTATGGAAAGTCTATATGCAAACACAGAGATTTTTGCATAAGTTTTAGACACTTGAGTTGATTTACTCAACCACCAAGAACTGGGAAGGGATTTCGGAAATTCACCATACAGACTCTTCTTGAATACATGCCTCAACAATCAGATGTCTCAAATTTCCAACTGCAAACAATAAAGTAGATTCTAACAATAAGCTTTATTGAGGCAGATTCTACCTTGAGTAAAAAAATGTAAGATGGAAAATCTTTTACACACCACAAGTGACTGGCATGTCATTGAAGCTCACACCATCAAGGTAGAACCTGTGAAAGTTTACTCCCTTGAGAAGCAGCCCACTCTCTAACTACATACATTGTTATCTAGAATACACCATTCATTGTGATCAGATTCTTAAGAGAAACTAAAAAGAATCATCAAAGATTAGAAACTAATGAAAAAAATATATCACTGCCATCTTTATAAACAATGTGCTAATATCAGGAATTTACCTCTCTGCTAATGATTGCAATTGATGGTACAGTCAATAGCCATGGCAGTTTCCTAAAAATAGCAGCCTCTGGAGGTCTTGTGCATAACAAGACCAAGGTAGCAGCAACCATAAGTTGTGATCATGGCAGAGGATATTTGGGTTCGTTCCCCAGGATACTGAGGGGCGTCCAAGGTGCTCCTTAACAGGAGCCATGAGAAGCTCCATAACTGGTTTAATAATGACAGTAACAACATCCATTGCTGGAAATTTTACTTAAGTTAGCACCTGCACACATAATATAGTAGCCAACAAGTTAACAAAGGTAATTCAACGGAAATCTATAATCGACACAAGAGAGACAGAGATATTGATTCAGGTACGGTTGAGAGGTAAGAACATATAATCATTTGAAGAAGAAGGAATTTGGATGGGTGAGGGTGGGGACGAGGAAACTTGTTTCCTGTGAGATCTAGAAACAAAAAGCCCTAGTTTCTTCAAGTTTGGGATGGCGTTCTTTAACGTCTCAGAGGGAGAAAATGGTGGATAAAAGAGGATAGTCGACATCATTGACCACTGTATGCCTGCCAAGCTCCAAAAATACGAAAGGGAGGAAGAGTTACAGCCGAATAATGTGGTCTAGGGTTTACAGAGAAAGGA